AATGATGAAGTATTCGATTTTTTTACAGTTGCCACTCTTGCATTTATCGCAAGGATCCGACTCTAATTGAAAGGTCCCGCTATTTATACCCTTCGGAGTGTTGAAACACCCTCCAAAGACGCGCCCCTTTGTCAGTTAAAATTGGATTCCTTAGCAACAAAATTAAGGAATGACACCGATAATGACCATGCATCAGAACCCTAGTCTTAACCACTTCAAACTAGGGAACAACGAATAGTAGATTAGGAATCACATAGATGAAGACAACTAACTCATTTTTTTCCTTGTTTCAAGATCATCCTCGGTAGACAAAGCCGAGTCTTGTCACTATCAACAAGGCATAAAAAGTAACAAGGACTAAGATGTGTTCCTTGGATTACTGAAAAATCCTGTTCCCCTAGTTTGAAGTAGTCAGGACTAGGAATCGGTGGTAGATCTTACATCCCGTAACGTACCACGAAAAGGTGATCTACCCACGTTACGGGGCAATTTCGTGGGTTTCACGTAAGTGTCTCTGCTTGCAGGTCCGCCCTTCCTTTCTGGCCCTTGTATAATGGTAAAAAGAATGCAGGCTAGTGTAGAACTTGATAAAGTCATACGATGGGGACAGTCGATTGTCTAATGACTGTGCCCTGCAAAAATGAGTGAATGTTGTGAAGTATGGAAGGAAAAAAACCCCACTTACGGTGCTAAAAAAAATCGTTGTGAAGTTTAGAGGTTTAAGTAATTTCAATCCAATTCCAGCAATATCATCAGAAGCGTAGCAATATCAACACATAATGTTGGATCATTGGTGGAATTTCTAAGGAATGAAAGGAATTATCGAGCATTTTGAACAGACTGCGGGATAGTAACAAAACTTCTGTAACATTTTGGGCACTTCAGCAAAACTTCGAGAACTTTATCGCAGTTTCATCAGCTTCAGCTCAGGTAACATTGTATGTTTTATCAAGCTATTCTTCAAGTCCAAACCTTTAGCATACGGCTAAAAATCTCATAAATAAAGTGATAAAAAATGCCGAAGCCATGGTCTTCAAGACTATAATAAACACAAAATTGCTACTTGAGAGGGAAACTGCAGGAAAGTTTTTTTTTAGCTACAGGGTTTCCAGAGAGCTCAATAAAACTTCAGAAAAATTCAGAGAATTTGAGGAAAACTGTGGATTTTTATAGAAGTTACGAGAATCTCAGGGAAGACGGGTCTAGAGATTATCAGGCAAGCTCAGCAATCTTAAGGGTGTTACAATAACTTCATGTAGGTCCAGACTTTCGGAAATGGTTAAAGATCTGTGAATGTTAGTTTCAATGAATTCAGGTCAGCAACATGAACGGCAGCAACAATTTGGTCCAGAGAGCAAAGAGAATATCAGAAAACTTTAAAGAAATTTAAAGAGTAGTTCTATTAGCTTCAAGGAACCAGAACTTTACAGAAGTTCCAATAAACTCAGGGAATTTTTGAAAACTTCGGCAAAGTTCCGACGTCTTCAGGGATGATTAGAGAACTTTAGAGCTGTTAAAAAAAATTAAGCAGGGATTTTCAGGTATTTTCTAAGATTTCGAGAAAGAGGTCTTCAGAGTAGTCCCATTAATTAATTGCAGGAATTTTCAAGAAGTTCCGGAGAATTGAGGAATATTCCGATAAAATCATGCATGTTTTGATTTTTTTTTATAATGATGCATTGTCATTTTGTTTCGGCTTTCAATCTTCAAGAAAAAGTGTTACAGTTTTAACATCGTCAACGTTTGGATCCAGGGGTTGGGATCATCATCTGACCTAATTTTAGTCGGAATTGTTTTTGAGCTGAACGAAGACGGTACTACTTTGCATCCCTTGAAGAAGGCCAAGTTCAAAGACCGAAACGTTGGACATAAAACTTCCTAGCGTTTTGATCCACCGTTAAACTGAAAATCCAATATCCGGAAAATAAAGTATTTTTGAATTTTATGGCGACCCTTGAACCCATAATGGGCGCTCCTTAAAGGGGGCGCACATATGAAAATAATAATAAGTAACCAGTTTTTGTGGATTCTATATATCATGATCATCATGATTCTCTGGCTTTGCAAATTTTGACAAAAAAAAATATACAAAACGTTCAAAAATTTGTCCAGAAATAGTTGCTCAATGGCGTGAAAATGCTATGTATAAAACTGGATTGTATACAGTGCTTTCCCGATTCTGTCAGCCTGCAGTGTGTTGGTGTAGTTGGGTGATCAGTGTGCTCGCTGTAAGCCACCCCTCGGGTAACCAAGAAAATGAAGAGATGCTTTAAGTGTATGGGCTTCGGTCACCAGGCGAGGAACTGCAACTGATCTGTGCTGAAAATGTAGGGCTCAGGTGCACGCTCTGTAAAAAGAAGGACGGAATTGACCACATGACGGGAGGCCCAGCGTACAAAAAGGCGATGGCGAGCCAAAGCTAATGTAACCTAAATACATTTCAATCAGTACGACACTGCACAGTAATTGTTGTGGCAGTCTACAATGGAAATCAAGTGCGACATTCCGGAACGATATCGAGTTCCTCCCAATAAAGGGCCACCCACATTAGATCCGTTTGCGTTGCGTTGACGTAAATTTGACAGTTAAACAATAGATTTCGCTGTCACTTTGCCGCAACGCGTCCGATCCGGATCTAATGTGCGTGGGCCTTAACGGTGGAGGATAGAGCTGGGATGGCTACAATGTATGTTTTTGACAGATACCGCACTCAAGAAGTGATTGCGAGCTCATACGAAGGTCTCGTGATCGCCAAACGGAATCTTCATATGCAGCTGCTACGCACACCCTAGATGGACGACGGAGCAGTTACATCAAATGCTGGATGGACTTACCGAAGAGCTGATCGGACGAATACCAGTAGTCATCGGAGGAAGCTTCAATGCTTGGGCAGTGGAGTGGGGAAGCAGACGTACCCACGCAAGAGGGTATAGCCTACTAGAAGCTCTAGCAAAGCTGAAAGTTATGCCACGGATACACTTGTATGACAATATGAGAATTATTTGTATCCGCGATATTAGGCTGTTCTTTCAGAGACGGCTGGGATTTCATCATCAATGTCACTTTCTGCAGTCCATCACTGGTGGTAAACATGAACTGGAGAGTATTCAAGGGGTATAAACATAGCCAGGCATTGAAAATCATTTGCATTCATTTCGTGCATTCATTTACATTCATTTGTCCCTAACCTTTTTCAACAACTGAATTTCGCAAAATAACGTATGGAGTTTTTGTAGGCTTTGTTATTCACTACAACTTTTGTTAACAACTCAAATCCGTATCTCTTATGCATGACGAACCAGAGTGAACAGAAGCCACTACTGTTTTTCAGTGAATGTATTTTACATTCACTGAAAAATAGTAACAAGTTCTGCCCGCTCTAGTTCATGATGCATAAGAGATACAGATTTGAGTTCCGGGCAAAAGTTGTAGTTAATAACAAAACCTACAAAAGCTCTATACATAATTTTGTGGAATGCTGTTGATGAAAAAAGTTAGAGGCAAATGAATGTCGCCATTTTAAGTTCAAAAATGTCATCCGATATCGATGTTGACTTCTTCACGTCTTTTTCATTCTGAAGTTACCCAGCTGTAAGGCATCCAATTCAAGCCTTAAACTGAGTCCCAATTCCTGCTATTTTAAGTGGTCAAGTAGTACCGCATACAATTGAAATCCCGCGACCAACCAATTTATTCCAATTGCAGCGACACACTTCAAATAATCTTCAGTCGTCACCAATCGAATCTGAGAACACGCTCATCTCACGTTGTCGCAGTTTGTCACTTCCGAGTTCCGGGAACAAATATTCCTAAAAAATCCTCCTTCCAACTCTTCATCCCCTTGCCGCATGCATGCTTGAAGCAAAATTGCATTCTCTGCAAACGATGCCCGATCGCACTTCAGTCATCCCTCTCCCATATCGTGCAACTCCCAGCACTCATCAAACAAATTGACTCCGGTCCCTCCTGTGTCTATGCCCGTCACCACCGCTCGTCTCCTGACGATTTGCTGCAGTTTGTCATGTGTCACTTCGATGATAGTGTGAACCGGGCAAAATCCTCACACTCACCATGGAGACGGTCGTGGTCTGCTGCTTTGGGGCTCAAGGATGCACCTTTGAAAGGTGGTTTTGTTAAATGAAGTTTCCTCCGCTTTTCGCAATACAGCTGAGAGGTGATGAATGACTGATTCATTTCTGGTGAAAAACGGAAAAGTGTCGACTGAGGATGCTGACACTTTTCCGGAGCAAAATAGAGACCAATGCAAAGGGTGGTCAAAGTCTTCCTAAGCGCAAGTGTTGTGTGGACGCAAAAGTTTTGCATATATTGAAGTGTAATTAATTCGTAATAGTGTTTGAATTAAATAACTCGATGGTGTGCACTTCTTTGTGCATGTGCAATGAACGCATTTGCTGGCCTTGAGGAAGAAGGGAGCATAGGATGTTTACCCCGGAGTGTGTTGGTTCAAAGATCAAACACATGAATGCCGGATGGAGATCGAGACGGGGACGGGGTGGAGCGGCCGGTTGGAACCACAAAACTGTGATGTGAAGTGTAAACTTTACACAAACAAGCACATTGAGAGAGCATAAGCAAATAAACAAACTTCATTTCAACAAGCCGAAGCACACACAAAACTCATCACTCAACGGGTGTGCGGCAGATAGAGAGATCCGGGGAAGAGCTGAGGTCATTTCTACTACAGTCGGTTGTGTGGAACGTTGCAGCGGACGTTCTGTTGGAGGACGAGCTGCAGAGTGACGTATGTTGGACAACAAGCTGTAACATTCGAGATTACATGTGCATTTCGGGTGCGACCCAGATTTCATTTGTTTTCGAATGACGATGCGGGGCTGGAGAGTTGCAGCCAGGTGCGTGCACAGCGAGGGCTGAGAGAAGGAATAGGAGTTTTTTTTTTAATTACCATGGGATTCTAGAAGGCAAGAAATGCGCGGGATGAATTTAAGACGATTTTATGATCATTTTGTTTTAAAGCAAAGATGGACTATGTAAGACACAAACAATTTAATCCTCCTAAATACGGCTTAATATTGTTGAATAATTATAATAATTCCACTAACAACAAGACAATTTTAATTCCAGATGGCAGTTGATTTTCAAGCATGGGTTTTAATGCAAAGATCGCTCTTCATAAAATGCAATGTACAGTGGTCCAGAATGGAAATTTAGCAAGACAAAAATCCTAGTGCATTTGACTTACGTTTTAGAGGTTTTGTGTCTTCAGTGACCTTTCTCAATCCTTAAAAGCTCCTTCTTTTGACCGCTTTTAAAATTATTGTGGTTCTCAAACTATTCATATAGATAAATTATCTTATATACAAGGTTGCAAAGACTCATTTCAGCTAAAATAATGTTTTTCGGAATAATAAAACCAAAAGATGGTATGATGGCATGTTTTACTTGTAACTTACAAGAAGAGGTTACAAAGTATGCGTTGGAAACATAAAACCTGTAAATTTTGCTCTCTATGAGTCACAATCAGCGATTTGCTGATCGCTGAGTGAGTGAGTGAGTGAGTGAGTGAGTTTGTGAAAAATCGCTGATTGTGACTCTCATGAAGTGAAATAAACAGGTTTAATATGTCAAACACATTCTTTGCAACCTCTTCTTGTATCCTACCAATTCAAAATTTGATCATGGCATCTAATTATTTCATAATTTAGAAAAAAAAACATTGTTTTAGCTGAAATGAGTCTTTGCAATCTTGCTTATATTTTTATTTTTGATAGTATAGATACATTTTTTCAGCAAAGTTGTAGTTGGGATGATTTCAAATTGATCTAAAGTCAATTTAAAAAAATAGCTCAAAAATGAGATTTTTTTTTTCTTTAGCAAAGTAGCTTGAAATGATCTTAGCTACAACTTTGCCAAACCGTTGCTACAAAACATGTGTTTTTCAAAAATTAAAAAAGTTAGTTTTTCAATCAACCGTTTGAGACCCACACTAATTATAAAAAAATGGCTAATACAATAAACTTTATATGCTGAAAAAGTTCACAGAAGACACAAATCCTCTAAAACGTAAGACAACAGAACTAGGACTTTCGTCTTGGTAAATTTACATCTTGGACGTTTTAGCTTCAAATGGTCCTTCTTTTAGCTGTTTATTTTTTTTTAATAAGGGTGTTCTTCAAATTATTGTTGTAGAAAACTTTTTTTTTATATATGAAAAAACAACGCATTAGCTTCAACTAAGTTTTAGCTGAGCTGAATTCAAGCATCTTTGCTGAAGAAATAATTCTTTTTATCTCCGACCGTTTTCATTTTGGAGCCATTTTTCTGAATTGATTGGTCTTTCAACGCTTAAGAAAATGGAATAGCTAAAGGCATGGCGTATAAGAGCTACGTTATTTTAGACGAAAATCTTTCATAAGTTGCGCTTATGATATTTATATTTGTTGTTCATAAGGCGTCGAGTCTTATGAAATTCTTAATTATATTTGCCTCAGTGTATGAATATGAATTTTAGCGGGGTTCTCCCTGTTTACACTCTTTAGTATGACGCGCTTCACATTGATGGTTCACAGTGACTCACGAAGAGCTACTGATTCCGATCAATAGCGGTGCGGCTTCTTCCTCCTTCTATGGAAGGAAGGCAGCCTTTCGTTGTGTACTGGAGAACAATGTTGAACGCCACGCGTCGAAAGCACTGCTGCTTATGCCGACGACCAGACACCACCACACACAGTGATTGGAGCTGAATCCGAGCAGCGGTTGAGGCCAGCCTAGATAGCTAGCTGCTTGCGGGGAGCATTTCACTGTGTACTGGAGAACACCACCACTCACCACCGTTTGGTGAGACCGGATGGAATTCAACTTTGAAATCTGTGTTAGGGAAATCGCTTTTCGCAGGCAATCGGTGATAATTTTAATTATCATAGCAACAATTGCACATTCGTGCAATTTTCAAAAGTGACATTTTGAAAAACTATAAAGTCTTAAATTTTTCAGGAACAACCATAAGTAAATTAAGAAAAATTCAAATTCCAATATTTTGGTTGATTTTCAAACGATGGGTAATGATAAAATGATAAGTGACGTCCGTCCTACATAAGTGCTGAGTAGTTATTCATTTATTTACTTTAATCCATCTGACAAGAAGTCTACATGAATAAAACTTAACTGATCGTAACGTCAGTGTCACGATCAGAATGACCAATCCAAAAATGTGTGATGAATCCGCTTCTCCAAGTAGCAGCTCTGGCGAAGTCTCGTCATTGTTGAAGCGTTTCTATTCCGAGCAAGCTACGGCGGCAAGAAGGCAGGGTTACGCCTAAGAAGATATCTCAGCGCAAATTTAATAAACTAGTTGATCCAGGTGTGTGCATTTGCGCTCCATACGATTGAAGCAGCTTCCATAACCGAACCAACTAGAGCGTAATACAGTGATCGAAGGCAGTAGGGATCTCGAAAACCCTTGGCAGCTCTTTTTATAAAGCCCAAATTCCTGTTTTCTTTGACAATAATGCTCGAGTAATTATCTCTGAATGAAAGCTGCGAGATCCTTCACCACCCTAACTCTGTCGACCGCGTATCTCATAAATCCAGCGCATTGGGGATTTGTTTCGTGTGAAGTACACTACTCTTTACACTGTACACTGTACACAGTACACTGTGAACTACACTACACTTTTGTACGATGGTTGTCAGTTCATCCACAGAGCACCAGCTACAGTCAGGAATCCTTATTGCCGGATTCCTTATTGCCGGTATCTCTTATTGCCGGATCCTTATTGCCGGGCTATCCGCGAATAAGGATACCCACAGCTTATGGGATTTTCACTAATGGGGGCTGTAGTGGATTATCTCATTTGTTTCAATACATAAAGCTATACTGTCTTCAACAAAGTTGCTGTACTGGGTTAGACCAACAAGCCTGTGCCATTGGATTCAGTTTAAATTGGGAACTACGCCGCTAGAGGCGCTTCACTTTTATGTTACTTATGACGGGCGCTATAATATATGGATCATATTACCAACATAGAATATTTCGTGATCCTGACCATATAGAAAGTTACTGTCTTCAGCAAAGTTGTTCAGGTGACCAAGTCCTTTCGGATGGTGGCCATATTAGTTCAGAACTCTCTCACTACGCAGCGCTAGTGTGCATGTGCAATTCCTATATAAACTGTATCTCGAGAGCCTGGCCATATAGAAAGTTGCTGTTTTTAGCAAAGTTGTGCAGGTGAGCAAGTCCTTTTGGATGATGTTCATATTAGTTCAGAACACGCTCACTACGCGGCGCTAGTGTGCAAGTGAATTTTCTGTATAAGCTGTATCTCGAGAACCTGGCCATATAGAAGGTTACTGTCTTGAGAAAAGTTGTACAGGTCACTAAGTCCTTTCGGATGATGGTCATATTATTTCAGAACCCTCACACTACGCAGCGTGACATCGATTTCCGGCCTCTACACATCGTTCCCTATCCGGAAATACCCATATTGTAGGGTATTTGACAGTTTTTCTTGAAACTATGGTCACCATCTTAGATTACAAAATGGCGTCTGGCATCGATTTCCGGCCTCTACACGTCGTCCCCTTTCCAAAAATATCCATATTGTAGGGTATTTGACAGTTTTTCTTGAACCGATGGCCGCCATCTTGGATTCCAAAATGGCATCTGACATCGATTTCCGGCCTCTACACGTCATCCCTTTTCCGGTTCCTGTTCTCACATTGCACAGCAACATCTTATATGGACAAGCTTTGGAGAAATAATATATTAAGGAAGTTCATGTGTACACAAGCGCCGCGTAGTGTGAGAGTTCTGAAATAATATGACGATCATCCGAAGATACTCGAGATACAGCTTATACAGGAAATTTACTTGCTCACTAGCGCCGCGTAGTGAGCGTGTTCTGAACTAATATGACCATCATCCGAAAGGACTTGCTCACCTGCACAACTTTGCTGAAAACAGCAACTTTCTGTATGGCCAGGCTCTCGAGATACAGTTTATATAGGAATTGCACATGCACACTAGCGCTGCGTAGTGAGAGAGTTCTGAACTAATATGGCCACTATCCAAAAGGACTTGATCACCTGCCCAACTTTGCTGAAGACAGTAACTTTCTATATGGTCAGGATCACGAAATATTCTATGTTGGAAATATGATCCATATATTATAGCGCCCGTCATAAGTAACATAAAAGTGAAGCGCCTCTAGCGGCGTAGTTCCTAATTTAACCTGAATCCAATGGCACAGGCTTGTTGGTCTAACCCAGTACAGCAACTTTGTCGAAGACAGTATAGCTTTATGTATTGAAACAAATGAGATAATCCACTACATCCCCCATTAGTGAAAATCCCATAAGCTGTGGGTATCCTTATTCGCGGATAGCCCGGCAATAAGGATCCGGCAATAAGAGATACCGGCAATAAGGAATCCGGCAATAAGGATTCCTGACTGTACCACGATTCATTGAATTATGTTGGACAAGTTAACTTATTGGCCATCTATTGATTCAACCATGAGCTAAAAAAGACCTATTGCATTGGAAACGGCAATTATATTCAAATTTTAAAACTGCTATAACATTATAGGGTAAATTATGGCTTCGGCACTCATTGACTGTTTTCGGCAACCGAAATTGAAACGTTTATTTCACTGTATTTTCCCATCAAAACTCTTCGCTGAATGTATTAAGCCGATTTCTTACCTTTTCAGCTTCAATCAGATTACATTTTTACGACTGTGAATTCCTGTTATACCATATTTTTCTTTAAATGAAATATACATACTACAAAATACGGCTGATTTCGAGTTGCCGATAATAGAACAGCTGGTTAACACGCAGTTCAAATGGAAAGGGATGCCGAAGAAAAAGAGACTGCCGACAATAGTCACTCTCACCTGAGAAGTTTGGAGCGTTGTAAAAACATGTTCAACCCGTTTTGATCAATTCTGTCGATTGGAATTGGTAGAACAGCAAGCAGCATATAAATGTCAACAAACAAACCTGTCATGTATGTGTGTGACGCTGAGAA